GCTCCATTATTTTATTTTTTGATTTAATAACCCACCAACTTTATAACACGTATTTAGTTTAAGCCTTTGACTCGCACAGAATTTTAGATCCATCATGAAGTCCGGTATTTAAACAGCATTTATTAATTGAGTTTCTAAATTACTTATTTTAGTCTGTATTTTCATAAACGTACATTCATTAAGATGATATTTACATTATTAAAGAAAATAAGAAAGCAAAATATCTTAAATTATAGACTAATATATGCCAAGTAGCAAAACTTCTGATGACCGAATAAAGATGCTCATAACGCTCGGGCTACAAGTGCAAAATTTTATTATAAAGGATTTTATACATTTTTATTCCTTCATCCATTGGCTGAAATTTTAAAAGTGAAAATGTGTATGTATACACAGAATTTAAATTAAAGCAAGGTAAAATATTTTAGGCTAACATGCTGAATCCATGTTTATAAATGAAGATAAAAATAAGAGCTTTCGCAGACAATTCATCTGCTTTGTAAGCTGGAGCTGGAATACTGGGGTTTATCAAGTTTTTGTCTTTTTTTGCTTTTGACAGAGTTGCTGTACTCAGAATTGACATCCTTTAACCCTTTCCAGACAGCACCCCAATCACCTGCCTTATCACTATGTGACGGAGTGCTGAGCTTCCTGTGATGTCTCCATAGGAAAGATGCTTGCTCACCAAGCCTAATTTTGCTAAAAAATACATTTTATTCCACTTAACTCAATTTTTTTTCAAATATTAAAGAAAATGCATCTACCTTTATGCTTGGTGAACTATAAAATTAAGTAGTACATGCAATGTTTGCAATTGTTATCATATATGTGAGGCACTTTCTATGAAGAGCAAGGATGGTAATGCCAGCAAAATGCACACAAAAACAGTAAAACGGATCACGCAGAACAATCATTGATCATGACATGTTGTTAGAAAAGTGAAATAGAATAATGGCATCATAGGGTTAGATTATCCTCATCTTTGGAATCAGATTATGAAGACTTCTTTACATTGTTTATGTCAGCGCTGTCCAACTTATCACAGCCCACGGGCCATATTTTCTTCACCAAACATTTTGGGGGCCAAGAAAGTTGATAAATGAAGTCAGTTTATGTTAATTAAAAAAATATTTTATTTATGCTAGAAAGAAAACTTAAAAATATTCATGAAAACATTGTGGCCTGTTTAGCAACAATATCCTTTATGTCCACATCAATATTTGTTGTGGCAAGTCTAATTATATCTTCAAGAGTGGAATCTTTCAAACTGTTTCTATATTTTGACTTTATATATTTCATATCGGAGTATGCATGCTCGCAGATATATATACTTCCGAACATTGATACAATTTGAAGTCCAAAATCTCTCAATTTCGGATCCTTGTGTTATTTATAATGAATCATCAAAGAGTGGATATGGTAAAACACGCGAAGAAGAAAGTGATAAGGAATTTCCTAAATGCTGATGCTCTAAACTGATGAGCAGCTACACTGACTACCAATAAGTATTTGGACATCTATGCAAATGACGATATCTGCGGTCCCAAGGTACGTCATGGACTCTGCCGGTACATATCATGTAGGAAACAGCATCGGATTTAGTCGCATGCAAGATGCCTTGCAGTTCGGAGCTCTCTGATTTCGAGAAAGGTATAATTATCGGGTATCACAAATGTGGCGATCCTAGGGACATATCTAGCGATCTGAGAAGTACCCAATATCTACAGTGGCCTATGTGATTAAGAAGTGGAAGGTGGGCGGGGTGGGTGATTGTCGGAATGTGCCCCGAGTCGGCAGACCAACGAAACTGGGGGATAGAGACCGACGAGTGCTGTTCAGAGAAATTCGGAGAAGAAAAGGAACTGCACCCAACCGATAGCCCTCATCCGCGAGGAGGAGTTTTCAACAGGCAATCGGGGTAAGTATTGTTTCGATGAATACCATCCGTAAGAAGCACATCTGCTTGGTTTTCATGGTCGTGCTGCTGCCCATAAGCCTTTGATCACAAAGTCCAACCACGCTGCTCGGTTAATGTGGTGCAAAGCACATCGAAATTGGACCGTACATCAGTGGAAACGGGTTCTTTGGCGTGACGAATCAAGGTTCACCCTTTACCGTTCGGATGGCAGGGTCTGGCTTCTACCTGGAGAACATCTCCTGCCAGAATGCATTGTGCCAACAGTCAAGTTCGGCGGAGGTAGAATTATGGTCTGGGGGTGTTTCTCCTGGAATGGGCTGGGACTCTTGGTCCCCATTCATGGTAAGCTCAACTCCGATGCCTACTGCACTATTTTGGATGACAATGTGCTTCCTACGTTGTGGCAGTTTTACGGGTTGGACCCCCGTTACTTTCAGGATTACAATGCCAGTTGTCGTGTTTCTACGTTAACCAAGGCTTGGTATGGTGCCAATGGAGTTCATCGAATGGACTGGCCTGCACAGAGTCCAGACCTGAACCCTCTCGAGAACCTCTTGAACGAGTTGCATCGCCGAATTCAGGGGTGCACTACCCGTGCACAATCGGTGAAAGAACTTCTATGTCTTCTCAAAGCCGAGTGGATGAAAATACCACTAGCTGTCATACAAAGACTTGTGGAAAGATACCCTGGAGGGTCCACCCTGTAATTACCTCTCGTGGAGGCTCTACCAACTATTGATTTTGAAAAACGTTAGTTTGTCTTTTCTATCAAAGGTGTCCAAATACTTATTGGTAGTCAGTGTACTCACTGGGAAGAGATTTGAATTTTATAAACATTTATGAAAAATTTGCTAGAAACATTTTACTTTTATAATATACAGTATCGAAATCTTATGTTTTAAGTATCCATGTTTGTATTTATATATTGTTCATTTAGTCAAGTTCAAGGAAAGTTTATTTTTTTAATCACACTGTTTGAGCACCCAATTAAATGGGGAAGAGCAAGGATGCCAGTGCTAGAAATATGCGAAGAAAAACAGCAAAACGAACCATGCGAAATGATTATTGTGTTGTATTTGAAAACAGATCATGCAGAATGCACTAAACGGTTTTAAAAATAAAAGGAAATCTTAAATGGTGAGACATAGGAAAGATATAGTTGTTGTACTGTATTACTTTGAATAAAAATGTTTAAAAAGCACAAGTTTTTTTGATATTTGACGCCAAATAAGGTATGAAAAGAATCCACAATCGTCGGTCACGACAATAAGAGAGGAATTTTAAAACGAAATTTCAGCAAAACTGCAATTAAATATTTAATATAAAACAACAAACATAGGGGCACATCTACATATTTACAACAAAATTTAAAAATTGGTTATCTGTGTAATGTTTTCTGAAGCATGGTTCCATGCAGTCTTACATTACAATCTCTGCACTCAAAGCAAGATTTTTCCCCGAAGCTTGCTTCTTCTGTGTAATTTGAGAGCAAACAGTTTATCTACTCATCTTCTCTTTCTTTCCATTAAGAATCAGAGATGGGAAATGCCTTTCTGAAAGGCAAAATGGCATCGGTGCAGCTAATACCTAAAATTCACTTTCTCTTCTTGACATCACCCTCTCCATAATTTGTTTGATTACTGTCAATCAAAACTGATGGAATTGCCTTTTTATACCATTTTTTACATCGTACAAAACATGAGCATTATATATTGATCATAATGTGAGGGAGTCCAAAAATAATTTCTTATACCATTTGAAATATTTTCCATAAGATGGAAAATAAGTAGTCATTGCATCTTTAATATCCACTCCTATCACATTTTTGTTATACTGCAGTATACAATTTAGTTTTTCAATACTTTCCCGTTTTTTAATTCTGTTTACTACTAAAACCACCGACATCACTGCTACTCAGATCTTGTAATAAAGCTGTATACTCAGTTTCTGATATGCTTATATTTTGACAAGAAAAAAAAAATTCTTTGTAAAGGAAAAAATACCCTATTCTAACATGAAGAAACTAAAAACTGCGTTAATGCAACATAATCCTCCCTCAGGAAGCCACTCAAAAGAAACAAAAGTATGCACATAAAGACTCGGCATAAATGAATCCCACAATTTACCCTTCAGAATCAAATGAAGCAATCTAAGGTCATAGTTTAGGCATCATATTGCCATTTATCTTGGTACCACTATCATAGGGTTCATCTGTTAGAATTTAAAATCTTTACATTTTGTTTGCTGCGATTGTCCTTTATATGTTACAGACATCTAGCTAGGCACTAATCCTCCAAGATGCAGACATCAACCAATCGATGAACTGCATACTATGGTGGTGTTTACAACACATTCGTCCAGAAAGGGTTTTTCAGGTTTCTTTTATTCCAAGGTTTGACAATTTCAGCACTGGTCCTATATAATCACTGAACGTGGATGCTTGGAAAAGTGCTTAGCTACAAAAGTGCTATTTTCAATGAAGAACTGGTTAACTTTGTCTTGTTTTAACCATGTGTGCCAATTTATTTTCACAAATAATTTAAATTTTTGTTATCTACTTATATTGTACAGATTGGTTAAAAACAGCAAGTTTCCTCACAGCAGAAAATTTTCAATCCACGTTATACTAGTAGCATTTAGAAACCACACTGCTCACCTAAGCTTTAATACTTTTATAAGAAATGGATGATGCTTTACCAATTTCAAAGCAACATAAATTTTTTGTATTTCTCTGTTGCTATCAAAGACTTTTTTTTGGGGGGGAGGTCTTCATTATTTCCCAGCATAACAGTGATTCACTGGGCATACAGTTACATTCCATTTAAGTTTTCACATAGCAGATTAAAAAAAAAAAAAAACACTTGACCGTTGTTTACTAAGAAAAAAATTAATGATTTCATTATCCTTTCAAAAAAAATTAAACTGTGAATTTTTTCAAGTTAGATCAATAAAAATACACCCTACAAAAGGAATTATATAGATTTTTAATTTAAACTTGCATGATCTTTTTTAAGCTTACTAATTAAGTTATATTCCATTTATAATTAAATTCATCTTATAATATAAATGAAACATGACATAATGTGATGATAATGACTTAAATTTATTTGATGATGAAAAACATGTGTGTGATTATAAACTATGAAGTTCATAATACTACAAACATGTTTTATAAATTTATAACACACAGTAAGTATACAAGTCAATAAATTTTTGACACTGTTAATACAAGAAAAAGAATAAATGTTATAAAAGTTCTCATTTCTGGGATTTGAAAGATACTTGCAATGGCTTGCCAAAAAAGTTACATCCATTCAGGGATTCAATGGCAAGAACTGCTTCATCATAATTAGGCATTGTCACGAAACCATAACCTTTGCCTGCTCCTGTTCCACCTTCACGTATCACATTGACCTTCTGCACTGTTCCATAGCGTGCAAAAAGTTGCCAAACTGTTTTTTCATCTGTATCAGGTCCAATGTTATATACAAAAAGAATGTGACCTTCACCACCAACTGACAATGCTGATGGGGCAGCGTATCCATAAGCACCCATTCCTCCTACACTATTTGTCATTGGGTTGAAACGGAATCTGCCTTGCAATGAATGCCTTACAGGACCTCCAGCAGTAAATCTTCCAGCCATACCTGTACCAAAAGGATCAAAAGCCGGTGCATTTACAGTACCAGGCATAGGGGCACGAACCTTTTTAGCGTTATCTTCAGCATATTTAATTACAAGTTGTTCAGTGCCACCTTCCAGTACCTGTCCACTTAATTTTTTAATTGCTTCTTCAGCTTGCTTACGCTGATCATAAAGAACAAACCCAACACCTTTGTTTCGACCACCAGTAGCATCTTTCAACAGCCGACACTGTATTATCTCACCATATGGAGACAAAAGTTGTTCAAGTTGTTCTTCTGTCATAGTTTTTGGAATTCCTCGCAGATATAAATTAGCATTCTTTATATTGTCTCCACCTGGACGAGAATATGCAACTTTTATCTTTTTATTCTGCAGCTGAAATCCATTCAACGTTTCAATAGCTCGAGCAGCATCTAATTCACTCACATACTCAACAAATCCAAATCCGTAACTGTAGCCAGTACTCTTATGACGCACAATTTTTGCAGCCTTGATAGGACCAATACTTTGAAATAGATTTTTGAATTCATTATCCGTCAGCATTTGTGGGAGATAGTTGATGATGAGATTAGTCTTTCCTTGATTGTTTTCCATTTTCAGGAAATATTTGAGTTTTCTTTTAGTTCTTTAAAAGGTTTATTGCAGAGATGATAGCACTTTATTAATATCCACAAATATGCCTAAAAAAGACAATATATTATTATCATTACTTCATACAGTAGAGTCAATATTAATAATTTAATGACATAAATGTTTCATACCTTTAACAGCTGATACTATATAAAAGAAATGTAACCTAATTAACTTCTATTTTTATAGTATGGTAGAGAAAAGAATATCGATACAAATATACACACATAGAATTTTTTTTTAATCATGAACTAAAAAAATAATACTGGCTGCAGTTAATTACTTCAATGACAGAAATATACAAGTATAATAAGATAACTTGTAATGAAATTATCCTTTTTATCAACAATCAGACGCCTGGGAAATAGCTGAATAAATGAGCAAATGCTTAGAGATATAATTTCACAACTGTAACCAATGGATAAAAATTCATAAAGAGCGAAACAAATGTCATCTTTGTCATATATTATGTTTCTTAATGTTTGTTCAATGCCTAAATATTTAATTAGAAGCATCCTCCATCCTTGTTATAATGTCACCTTACTTTATAGTGATATGTTTTTAAAGCTCCAGCAAAATATAATTTAAAATAAATTTGGGGGGGGGGAATGCTTGCAAATTATTTATTTTGAATGATAGATTCAACATTGATGGATGAGGTCTATTTCTGCTTTGTTTTCAAAAATGAAATAGGGGTGTATGGGAAAGAAAAGTATAGAAAGGTTAACAATTATCAACCAGTCTTAGCAATTTTTAGTAGCTTATTCAACAGGTGGTCGGAAAATTCAGGAAGCCCCACTGCTTTAAGAATGAAAATTACTACCTGCGATATAAACAAGCCTTAGCAGCAAGAATCTGAATGAAAATAATTACGCATCTTGTAAGAATTTGATGAGTATTAACAGGGCAGTGTTTAGTATAGATAACGGTATGATCCAAATATAACACAAAACTGAAATTTTTTATAATCTTGCTATTAATGTCACCAGTGTTATACAGCCTATTAATGAAGAGTGATTTAAAATATATAAATGAATTAGAAATGGTTTCTTCTTAAAACAAGACTGCAACTGTAGACAATTAAAAATATTCTACATTTCTGTCTTGCATCCACTGAAGAAAGCCAAAATCTTATCTTCCAATGCAATCACTCATTGTTCAGGCTGGATTAGTTTGCTTATTTAAGGCAAAACACATGAGAGTTAATGCTTCAGACTTTTTATGGACTCTTCAACGAGACATTCAGATTTCTCATTACCTTTAAGACATAAAAGGTGTTGACATTCAAGAACTAATAACAAGGTACAGATGTAGATGATAATTCTGACAACACTACTTCAGAAACTGTTTCATAGATTTAATGATGATCAAGTTGAGAATATACATGATAATGTCTATACAAGGGTGAGAGGAAGTACCTGAAACTAATGCATTAACTGCTTTAAATACTCTATAAAGATTGGACAAGAAACATGCCAATGTAAAATTTAAAGCAACCTTGGTGTGGCAGACTTTTGAATAAACCATCCATTTTCTGGATAATTAGACACAGGTTCTTCTTCAGGATGGGGAAAAAGATTTTTAAAAAATTGTTGTTTCAATTTTTCCTCCCTTCATCTAATCGCCCTTGAAATTGATGGTTTGTTCAAAATCTCTGCCATATTAAGGTAGCTTTTTTTATTAAATTTAAAACCCTATGAAGATTTTTAGCAATATCTGATGCAAGTGAATTTTTTTTAATTTATTAAAAATTTAGGGAAAAAACTTGCATTAATGATTTTTTTAATAGTGAACTATTTTTAAATTCAAAAGTGTTTGCTTGTTTATAAAAATATGTAAATAACTTATGCTTACATCGAACATTATTATTTAATTCAAACTTTAATTGTACCAATTACCTTATTTTTCTGCACACAAATCAACTCCATGAATTCATCCAAATAATCATTAAATTTATGTATATTCAGAATATAAGTATGAGGTTTGCAGCATCTAATGGTTTGGTATTAAAAAAAAACACTTATCCAATAGCAGAAAAAAAAAAAAGGGTGTGAACATTTTTACCTCAGATGATCGATTTAAAACCTGCATCTATGATTTTAGGTTAGTTAATAAAAACAACTTCACCTACTAACTTTACTTTTTAAAGTGTTTCAATAAGTACAGGCCACCAATTATTTTCCTGTCCTTTCATAAAGTTTTATAAATTAATTTGTTTTGATTTTCAAAGTAAATTTTTAATTCAATGTTTAATTATATATCGGGTTTTAATGAAATTTTCCTGCCACTACAAATATGGTGTGCACAAACAGTTTGCGTCAAACGATTATTTTGTCAAATGATTTTTGGTATTTGAAAGAAAGATTTGCTTTAGAACATAAACAGCTACAGAATTAAAATAAAAACTAATAGAAGGCATGAAAGAAGAGCATGTTTCTGTATTTCCTTGTGTCCCTCCCCCAAGCATTTCAGCACCTGGTTCTGAAAATTTTAAAAATATTCAAATAATTTTCCTCTACCTCAATGTGCTCAGACAGCGAGTTACTAAAAAAATGGCTTTATCAGCATGATTGTCTTCTCGCCATCAAAGACACTTCAAACCACCTGCAAAGGTCATAACAAACCTTTCCCTTCAGCTGCAAGTTTAATGGATGAACCGACCAACACAAACTCGCATTCAGTCTACAATTTCAACGAGAGAGCTGCACATTCCCCTTCTCTAACTGTTTAAGGATAATTCAAGGTCTTCAGAATAACAATGACAACAATAAGAACGATGATTCAAGCTACATAAAAGTAGAAAAGAAGATATTTTAATGTTACTAAGCTGTCTTATAAGAATGCAGGTTTCTTTTAAAGAAATAATTATTGTGATAGTTACCTGTAGTTTACCCATACTGCTTTCATTTGTTATATTCTAACTGTACTCATGTCCTTTGGAAATTATTCACACAATTTTTAGATGATAAAAATTAATGAAAAAAATAAAAATAAAAAAAAAAATCTGAAAACATTCAAATATAGATTATATATTACAACCAAAGGGATGTTTTTCTCATTTACACATACACACATTTTGAGAGCATTTGGGCTAAAAATACTTAAAAACAGCGTATCTTTATAATTTCCGATAGACAGACGCTGCAGATAAAAACTATTCCATACAGGTGTTACCCCTGCTCACTTGCAAATTGTTCAGTTTCTTAATCAAAAATTCGTTAAAATTGAAAAAAATACTAAACAGATAATAAAACAAACTTGAAATTCAAGATTTGGGCTTCCAGGTGCATTGTTTTTCACAATGCAAGAAACATACATACATTCATGAAGATTCTTCATTATTTAAATTTCTTTATATATAATACAGGACAATAATTTGAAAACTAATACAATGGTTTACAGTGATTCGATGCAAAATGCTATTTCGAGACTAATAGCTCTTCTGGGCTAACACCCCTTTGGAGTAAAAAGGAGGGGAATTAGGTTAGGAAGTATGTACTCATCTTGATGCCTAATATGAACTTTCAAATTAGTTTAATTTTTGAAGAATGGTCACGCATTAGTTTTTTATGCAATTTTATTCCTATATATAATGCAATGTATGATCAGAAACATTCACACTAGAGAAATATGCAAACCAATCAGAGATATTCTGTTACTGATACACAGAATACTCCAACTGCAGAACATCAAGTTCATACAGGAACGTTCTTCATTACAATCAATTTCCATGATATACTGCACATCTTTTATTGCACTATAGCGCTAGATATTCAAAATGTTGAAGAAATATGTATCAGTGTAAGCAATATAATGTATGAACCTCAAAAAAATTGATACACTGCTTTTATTTGAATAACCAGTAGTGATGTTAACAGTTCAGCCACATGTATTGTTTTAAGTGAGCTTGCCAATTATCATTGTGCATTAAATATGACATAGATAATGAATTATTGTCTTATAATAGGATCAAAGGCAAATTTACATATATTTCTTTATAAATAAAACTTTCTAACAAGAAAAAAATTATCCTATTAAGAAGAGATAAAAAAGTAAAAACAAACCAGTGCCTTACTGCCTTTATACTTTTGGCACCAGGTTAAAAAAAAAAAAAATCTTACCAGAAAAAAAAATTTCTCTCAATGAAGAGCTTCAAAAAAATGAGGAATTCTGGAAAAAAAATCGCAAACATTTAATAAATTAATGTAACACCTTTGGAAGGAAAAAAAAACATTAATACGACATGTAAATTACTAAACATAAAAATAAATATTTTAGATCAGCTGAATGAAATATGTTTTTCATAAAAAAATAACTGCTTAGCTGAAAATCATAAATGTAAGAAAGTGTCTGAAGTTGCTATGAATTTCATACTATTTACTTTAAATGAAGCTTTGCAGAAACAATGTTATTATTCCATTTAATATGGAACTTTGCAAAACCACTGTTAATTTTATGCATAAACAGGAAATTTAACACAAAACAGAGAATGCAGATAGCGACTTTAAATTACTAATCCTTCCAGACAAATATATATGTTGGTACAATACATTATCCCACACATGTGAGTAATTTCCTTTCCTGCCTCAAAAATGTTTGCATATAATTATATTTATAATATTTAAAATAGAGATAGTATGTTTCCTACCCTTGCATGCATAATTATACATCAGAAGTGACATAAGTGAGAAGATTAAGTTATTTGAATATGGTAAAGCACATGACAGCTATGTACCTAAGGGAAGGGATGTCATTGTGGAGGACTTTCTAAAGGAAATTGGCCCATATTCATTTTACACATGGGATGAAACACGAAAAACAACCATGCAGTCAGCTTGTTTGCCTGCATTTCAATCCAGATCAAACAACCAGTATTCAGCAGCCACTGGTGATACACATAAACCGATAAAAAAGAATGAATTTCTCTATGTACTTTAGCACAAAACAATTTGTTCATGTAATACTCAAATATGTATAACGGAAAGCATATTTTCAATGAATATTTTCTTCTGAATGAAATACATCCTCAGCATTAATATTGAAATGTACGATATATGCACACAACAAATTCCTCATTTTGATGCTTTCGATATTTGCTCTGTTTGTTGCATAACGAACTTCAAAAGTATATTCAACCTCATCACCAATTACCATTTTATGAATTTAAGCTGCAATCCTTTACTGTGAATCAGTGATGAATAAATTTTATGTTAGCTGGAGTAGCATGTTAGAATTCAGGAATATTTAAGAGCCATAATTAAATGTTTATCATTTTAAAAATTGCTAAACTGTTTTCAAAAAGAAAATACCAAGGATTTCACAATTAGTTATGATCATTTAAAAGCATAAATAAATAATTCTTGTTATTTCTGCTCCAATTTCATGGATTTTTTTTTTTTTTTTTTTTTTTTTTTTTTTTTAATTTTTATATAACGTACTCAATGTTTATTTACTTTTAGATCACCATCTAAATATTTTCTTCTGGTTTCTAACTCCACTCCCTTTTATAACTGTCAATAGATTTTTTATCACAGTAAACATGAAATAAGATGTGATTTTTCTTTTACTTCAAGAAATGAATAATGCAATACCTTAAAACAGAACTTGAAAAATTAACACTACCATACACACTAACAAATGAATGAAAGAGGATAGAGCACACTGGAAGAAACTGCAATTTGAGACACAAAAATTTTACTGAACCTGGAAACTTAACAGGAATTTTTGCATAAAAAATAACTTGATTCTCCCACACAATTAACATAATAGCCAACACATGGGGGATCAAGCATGGCTCCTAGCTTCAGATCATCTAAGTCATGAGAAGTAAACTAGATAAGCAAGTAAGTGCCTCTTTTTTTTAATCGAAGTTATAAATATGTATATTCAGGTTTTCAAGATTTGGACTACATGATGGATGCATCATGTTTGCCAGTTAGTCTTTTTTGCTGTCTTGATATCCACAAACCGTTATAAAAATAATATTACTATAGCAAGTGTAAGAAACAGAATTATTAGCTTTTTATATCCAATGGTAAGCACACAGTTTGAAATTGCTGCATATTTCTCCACCAACATAAATTACCAAATGACAAAAAACCATGTCATACCAATATTTCTAAAAAATTCAATTATTTGTTACAAAGAGTTGCATTTAAAGCGGCACTTTTATATTTCATATTTTTTACTGAAAAAGTTAAGAAGGAAACTTAAGCATTTAAAAATTGAAAATGAGTAGAAAATGAATGCAACTTACAGCACTTAATAGAATTTTAAATTTACATAGGTCATTAATAAATTGATCTTTTTTAATAAAGTTTTACTCATATTTTTTCATGAAAAATACAGCCTAAGGTTCAGAAAAAGGAAGTTAATAAGTACATGAGGCTACCTTTATAAAAATTGCTTAGTTAATTATCAAATTTCTTTTTTTCATGTTTGTTAATCTGATACTGTTTTGGTGAAAAAATATCTTGTTTGTTTCCATTTATTTTTAAAGTGTCGCTAACATTTCTTGCACTTCAAAATCTTTACGTGAATATGCATGTACAACTTTTAAAACCTGAAAAATGCATGTATGTGATGTGATGATTTGTAGGTGCTTATTTTTATCATGATATTTTCAACGACAATGTTTTTAAACTGCGAAGTTTTTTAACTGCTTTATTTTCGACAACGATATTTTGCATTTTAGAACTGCAATGTTATTTCTTTACTTTCTTTTCTCCCACGATGTTTTCACACTGTGTTGTTTTCGCTGTAACCCTGTTAAGTACTAAAAATCCCAATCATTTCATCAAGCACAATGTTTGCTTCTTATCCATCAAAACAGAATCCTCTGAAAATAGTCTGTGGTATAAGATTTGTGCTTGCTTGTGGTACAAACTAAATTATTACACCTCTCTTAATCCAGGAACTGAGAAATTTGTTATTCATATATGGTTTATCATCTCTACCTGTGAAAACTTATATTGCTTTGCTAGTTTTTTGTCACTTGAATCATTTCAACATTTTGGAAATAATGTGTTTTTATAACACTGGCATACTCATTTAATTCTTATCCTGTTCCCAGAGAATAGTTATGACAGGTTTTTAGTGATAATAGGATTTGAAGGTTGTTAGGATTTGAAACGTTAAAAAAAAATGAGGTACTTGCACATTAATGCAAACACATTAGTAGAAGACACCAAATTATCAGAACATGCCAAACCCTGGCAATCATGAAGATAACAGTACTTCAGTCGCTATTTTATTATGCATTCTTTTTGTTGTATTCCTGGTTACAGAGACAGAAAAAGTGTGATACTTTTTGCCATAAACTCTCAGCATAATGGGTTTTGCTCTGAAATTTCAAAGTTCCTCAAAATGTTATAAATAAACGGTGGTTTCTTGATTATAATTTTAAAAAGATTCTCTCACTTTGATTCACCTCAAATCCCTTTTCTTCCAATATACATCCCACCCAAAATTAGATACATTATAACCTGGCAGAAATTTTCGTGTTTAATGAATATTAAATTTTCCGCACATAATGCTGAGATGTTTAAAGTATGCGATTGTCGAATTTGCCCACACCAGAACTGCAGGAATATAGTATTTTGCTGCAAAATTACTACAGGGAATAATGAGGTGGCATGTCTGGTACATAGCTGATGAGCAATGCCCAACTTATGCAATTCACTGGCATTTTTCAAGCTAAAGTAGATCAATGCATACATGGTGAAAACTTCAAAAAGATTTACAGGTTTTCGCGATAAAAGTTTTATTTTTTAGTGTATAATATAATCCTCAGCAATTAAAATTTATATTTTAAATTGCTAAAGTTTATTTTAAAATATATGGATAGTTTAACAATCTTTTTAAGGAAACTTGCGAAAATCACTAGCTCACACATGATACGTAACTTTTACCTTTTCATCTGTAAAAGCACTATGCAAAGGTAGTTGTGTTAATATGCAAGTAGCAAAAATGATATTGTATTACATAAATTAGCAGAAACTTTATATTCATAGTTTTTATTACAAAAATGCCTTTGTCACTCAAGTTTTCAGTCATTCAAAATTATAACAGTCCACAGTACCTTGGATAAGCTGGGTTTACGATATTACATATCATAATTATTATATCATATAGCTTTCTTACATGGGGAAAATGCAGAATCTCCCACTGCTTCGTATGTTTCGCAAAATCGCCAACTTCAAAATAACTAGTTAAAGAATTACACAAACTCAGTATCTAGGCACACATCAACCTATTTTCACTTGAAAAAAATTGGAGAATTGCACAAACTTGGCACCGCACTCCCATTACTTTGTCCATGTACACATTGATACGTGCCATATAAATGGGCGATTCTATGTCAACTTGAAAATAACAAATCAAAGAATTGCACGAATTCGGTATCATCGTACACATCAACCTATTTTCACTTAAAAAAACATCAGAGAATTGCACAAACTTAGCACTGTGCACTTCCTTGACTTGTCCACGTCCATATCGACAAGCTTCATATAAGTGGGCAATTCTGCACTTTACCCTCTTAATACTTGACGAAAGAAGAATATTCTTAAAAATTCCTTTATAAACGAAACATAAAGCAATGAAGCAATTACCATACATTTAAACAGGAAACTTAATATTCCCAGGCCTTCAGGAAATCATATCAAATTGTAAAAAGAATTACTGACACAACATATAAAATAAAAACAACATACGTACAGTGTATTTTTTCCTTAAAAATCTGTGTGTTTTCAAGTATGAGATCTTAAAAATCTCAGAAAACTGCAAGTATATGACTGGATAAAGGTAATAAGGTGTACAAAAATGAATTATCATATTATATTTTATCACTTTGTACTTATCAGTCACTGTTTAACAGTTTTTATACCTGCTTGCTGCAATGCTGAAAGTTAAAAAAATGTACCATTATGCTTTGGTTGATGTTAAAAGCTTGAAATACAAGAGAATGCCCAATTATTTAGACTGATACCTTTTTTGTTATATAGTCTCAGTATGCAATAATAATATTCTGCAACATTACTCTACAGCAGTATGTTCTAATGCAATCAGACTTGGGGGGGGAGGAAGAAAGAGTGCAGGGTATTTCATTTTTTATGCTTCCTCCTCGAGTACATCTTTGAATTTCTTTCATTAATCACAAAGGGTGACTA